TATCATATCTGAAGAGAGGAATACCAAGACTTGGTGATAGCTTTCATCTTCTTGGACCAAGTCAGACTGTACCAAGGTAACGAGTTGGTGGTCACTATGGCAAAAACCGTGACAATCGCTGTTCAATACAGGCAACCACACGCAGAGGGTAAAGGTCAAAGGTCCATCCTCTCCGTCTTCATTCCAAAACATCTATAAACAAATGCCGTCTAAACTTTTAAGGAAAAATCCCAAACAGAAACGCAAGCAAAAAAACGCCTTCTAGTCTATCCCCCCCCCCCTTAATCCCCCTATTCGAGTCCGAAATTCCATCCAGCCCCACTGAGAAAGGCCAATCTAAACCATCTCTTTTGTCTTCCCACTATCTTTTCCTTCGCATGTCCTCTCTACACATCCTTGGATATCGCTAAACTGCAACGCAAGATCACCATCCATGCTAGGTATGCAAAAACTCCTGCTGACTTAATCCTCACCCTCATCATCCGTATCCTTAGGATGCGGCGTTCCCTTGGGGCTGTTCAGCCACTCAATATGCCTCAACCTCCTCCTGGCCTCGCGCTCCTTGAGGTCCTTCTTAGTCAACTTCTTCTTCTTCTTAGCCTTGAAAGTCATGCTCTCGCCTGTGACTCCGAGGCCACCGTTATCCTCGGCACCCGAGTTGACGGCAGTGCTAGGCTCGCTCTGGCCCATGGGGGTGTTCAAGCCGCTGGGGACGGCAGAGGCAGGCTGGCTGTCCTCGAAGCGGTCGAGGGCAGCGGCGTTCTGGCCCTTGTGGGTGACGCGGCCGTCGACGACGTTCCATGTCTCGGAGGCGAGAGCGCCGACGAACTCTTCGTTATGGGAAATCATAACCACACCACCCTTGAAGTCACGGATAGCGACGGCAAGACCGCCGAGGGAATCACGATCCAAGAAGTTAGTAGGCTCGTCAAGAACCAACATGTGAGGGTTGTTCCACATGGCACCGGCGATGACGACCTTGACCTTCTGACCACCGGAGAGCGAGCCGATCTCGTTGTGGTTGGCGATCTCGGGGTCGAGGCCGAGGTCCTCGAAATGCTTGGAGATGACAGCGGGCTGGAGCTCGCGGTAACCGAGACCTTCGCGCGAGGACTCGTGGTCATCGAATTCCTGGATGAGCTTCTGGAAGCCGAGCTCGAGAAGGGTCTCGCGGGAGATCATGGTGTTGTGCTTGGGGATGAGGCCGCGCCATTTGCTGTTGCTTGTTAGCTGCTGATCATGTGTATGACAGAGAGAAACGGGGGAACTTACATCTCATACTGGAAGGTCTTCTTGTACTTCTGACGACCGACCAGCGTCTCAACCTGCCTCTTGCCCTTGCCATCACCGATATCGACAAACTTATCCATCTGCTCCTTATCGGCGTCCGTCATCTGGCGCGTCTGCTTCATGTGGACTTCACGGTCATCACCGTGCTGGTAACGCCACTGGAGGTACTGGTTGGGGGTCTTCTCGAGGTGCATCTCAACGTGCTCGAGGGCGTGCTGCTTGATGTAACCGATACGGAGGTTGGGGTGCTTCTCGACCTTGCCCGAGGTGGGGATTGACTCGCCGGTGAGCAACTTGATAAGGGTGGACTTGCCAGCACCGTTAGGGCCGATGATGGCCACGCGGGAGGAGAGGGTAAGCTGGCAGGTAACATCGCTGAGCGAAGGCTTGGGGGCGTTGGGGTAGGTGAAGGAGACATCCGTCATACGGATGATGGCACGGGTCTGCGACTTGACGCCGGAAAGAATACCCGGAGGAGGGAACTTGAACTGGACGTTGGAGGCAGAGAGGGTGTAGTAGGCCTTGGCCTCGGGGCGGGCGTTGACGAAGGCGGCGAGGTTGCCCTTGTAGTGACCAAGCTTCTTGTTGGGCTCGTAGTGGTAGATGTCGGTGGTGACATTGTCGAGGAAACCGGAGTCGTGAGAAACGATCAGGGAGGTGATGTCGGTGTGCGACTTGAGGTACTCCTCCAGCCACTTGATGTTGGCAACATCAAGATGGTTAGTAGGTTCGTCGAGCAACAGGACATCGGCCTTCTGAAGCATGGCACGGGCCAAGGCGAGCTTCATCTTCCAACCACCGGAGAGCGAGCCGACCTTTTGCGACTGACGACCCTCGGGGCCAGATGTGAAACCGAACTCCTCAAGGACGGTGGAAATGCGCTCACGACCCTCCGAGGCAATGGTAGGATCCTTGACCATGAAGTCGAGAATGCTGATATCGGCATCCTCACCCTGGTTGTGCTCGACGTAGCAGGTACGGAGAACATCCTGGGAAGGGAAACCCTCGAGCTTGCCGGAAGCAATGGCCTTCATGAGGGTAGACTTGCCGGCACCGTTGCGGCCGCAGAGACCGTAACGGTGACCCTTGAGGAGGCGGAGGTTGGTGTGCTGGAGCAAAAGCATACCACCGTAGGCAAGGGAGAAGTCGGCATTGACAATCTCAATCTCGCCGTCATCCTCCTTCTCAGGAACACCATACTTGATAGCATCCTCGTCAACATAGTACTTCTGAACAGCCTCGCCGACAGCGCCGGGGTCAGCGACGAGGAACTGGAGGTAAGGGCCGGTTCTGGCGGCGATGCGGTTGCAGTGGCGGTGGTTGACATCCTCGGCCACCATCTCGCCAACGTACTTGCGGACAGCCTGATAGACGACGGGGTCACCAATAACGCCACCGGCCTTCTGGATCTCGGCGTCCAAGACCTTGCCAACGTCCTCAGCGTGTGTGCGCTCGATAACCTTGTCCTGGTCGCTACCCATGGCCTTGTCCATCACAGCAAGAGCGCGAGTGGCGATCTCACGGACCTCGGGGAGAGAAGCGCGGTCGACAACGCTCTTGATACCAGGCTGGAGCTTGGGAAGGAAGGTGCGGGCCTCAATGGGGTCGTGGACGAGCTTGGTCAAGTTCTCGGTAATGACGACAGTCTGGCGAAGGACTTCTTGGGGAGTGCCGGGGTTGCTGAGAGAGCGCTCCAAGAAGGGAGTAAGAAGGGCGAGGACAGGGGCGGTGACGATGGCAACGAAGGTGGTCATGGAAAGAGCGTGAATGGCCTTGTGGACGGTCGCAGCCGAGGGGTGCTGCATGGTGTCGATAAGAAGAGGAATGCGAGGACCGACATCGTCGTTGGAGAGCAGCGTGGTAAGAGCGTTCATAGTCTTGACAGCCTGCTTGGCGACCTCGCTCTTCATGTCGAGCATGCCGCCCTCGACAATGGGGATCAAGCGGCCGAGCTTGGTGCCCATAGCCTCGCGGAGAACATCCTGCTCGGCAGCTTCCTCCTTGGTGGTACCAATTGTGATTTGAGCCTTGATGGAGATCTTCTCGATGAGCTGGTAGGCGCCAATGGTTCCCTGCCACTTGCCCGTGGGCTTCTCCAGGTACGCGATGAGGGCGGGGAGAAGACCAACGACGAGAGCCTCGGGGCTCAGATTGTTGTAGAGAGCATCGAGGCCGTATTGGCCAGCCTCGCGGACGACGGCACCCTTATCGGCAAGGGCGTCGAGAGCGCATGCGACAAGGCCGGCTTCAGGAGATGTGAGGAGGATCTCGCTGGCACGCTGACGAGGAGGGAACTTCTCGAAGAGGGCACCAAGCAGGTTCTGGGCGCCTTCGCGCTTGAGACCGCTCTTCTTGTCGGCGGCGGCCTTCTTGAGGTCGGAGAGCACGCCGTAGAGTTCGAGGCCACGGTAGCCGTAGGACTGGAGGAGGACTTCGCAAAGACCGTAGGCGGCGTCGATGGAGGCTTGCGACGTCTTTGCCGTGAAGACAGTGTCGAGGATAGAGGACACGTCGGCCTGGCTGACGGGCGGCGCGGCGCCATCAGCAACCATGATAGGGACTGTCATTTTTTTGTTGGGTTTTTCTGGTATATGAAGAGGGGAGATTGGGAGTGTCTGGTTAGGTAGAAAAGAGACGGTCTCTGATAGGGACCTGGGGCGAGAAATGCCCGTGGCGACACAAGGCGGAGGGGGAGAAAGGGAGCCTTGGTGATGCTGTCGCAAACGCAGACAGATGATGGCGGGTGGTTTGGAGGTGAAGCAAGAGAAGAAGAGGAAAAGGGAAGAAGGAAAAAAGCAAATGTCTTTGCTGGAGTCGGAGTGCAGTGGACTGGGACGGACGAGAAAGGGAAAGCGGTGGCGGGTCCCTGGCTGGCTGGCGGTGGACTCGTGGGGCACAGCGCTTGTCGGTGTCTTTTTTGGAGGACCCCTCTAAAACAACTGACAGCGAAACAAAAGAGCCCCATCAAAATTCTTTTTTTCTCCCCTTGACTTTGTCTTTTGTCATGGGTCAGCCAGATCTTATCAGTGGCTTATCAGCTTATCGCTGCTTACCGGGCTCGGTGATTGGTTGATACGGCCCCGTGCTTACAAAACTGGATCCCATTCGGTCAGCCAAGACTTTTTCTTTCAGGGTCTTGCCTGCGCCCCCTGTCGGTCCTAGCGGGCATCCTGTCGGGCATGTGCTGGCAGTGTCAGTGCACCCTCCAGCTGTCAAGGCGTCCGGCATCAAAACCATCAAGGTCCTCGAACTCGGGAACAGCATCGAGTCCGGAACGGTATGAAAATCCCAGGAAAATCCATGAGATACCAACAAGGCGTGATCCTGTCTTTTGAAAATCCGCAAACATGTCTCACATAGTTCAAGACCATTCAGACTGTGTACTTTCTGACAGTCCTCGAGTGTCTGACATGAGTTTGCCTAACGGTCCGGCTTTCCTGCCCTGACACCCTGTCTTGAGCCCAGACAGACAACGCCGCAATCTGATATAATTGAGTAGATATTTTTGCCATCATACTTCCTAGGTAGGCGCGGTGATTCTCTCATCGTCAGGTACCTGCCCGTCCTCCCACCTGTCTCCCCATGCTCCTTCCCTGCCTCAAACACACCAACAGCAGCATAACCCGCCCCTTCCCCGACAAACGCAAACAGCCCTTTATATATAACCTTTCCCTTCGCTGCCACTTTTCAACAAAAAATCAACCAAAGAAACCCTACTGGTGTATCGGTTAACATGGTGGATTCTCAAACTCATTCCCCACAGAGTGCAAGTCTTCCGCAGCGCAGGGTTCAACTCCCTGGTAGGGTAATCTTTTTTTCACTCTGCTTACTTCGTTTTTTTATCGTTCGGTTTCCAACATTTGCTCTCTCATCTCCGCGAATCTAATAAATAGTACGAATGCGAATTGCAAGTACCTATATCGCTGCTTGACTGATCTTTTTGGCGATGTTGTATAAAATTGAGGTTTTCGGATGGATTGTTTAGCGGGACGCAGTTGGCTTGGTTCTAACTTTGGTACATTCATTTTATTGGTATGTCCCTGGAGCGATATGTTCGTGAATTGCTTTCTCTGGAGAACCCTCCCGCCGACCACACTTTGTACCTCGCAGTCTCGCTCGACCCAGTTTATATGGTTCAATTTACGCACAAGTAAACAAGGAATGCGCATGGCTCGCAAATTGCCTCTTTGATCGGGATACTGTAGGTACCCCTCAACGTTCTTGGCATCACCATCCCTCTCTCACGGTCTTGCATCCACGGATTACATGCAGCCCTACAAGGCTGAGTCTCACTCTCTTAATGTCTCTCGGTCTTACCCGACAATCGGCAGCCAACACCCAGAAATGGGGACGGGGACGGGAGCGGGATGTGAAAGGCGTAGTCCCCCAACTACCTCTAGTCCTATTACGATACCGAGCTTTCCCATGTTTCTCGTTTGTAGGTACGCCATTGCGTCGGAGGCCGTCCCGGTAGATTGGGACTCGGACCGACTTGACCAGTAGACGTTCCGTAGGTGTGGTGGATGGGTGGTCGTTAGTAAGCACCACCCACCGTCAAGTACCTCTCACCGCTTAGTCCACGCCAATAAGCGCGTGAAATGGTTACACAGAGTAAACATGTGTTCGATACCTCTATTGTGCAAAACAGTGGATGGTCACTACGTTACATGCCCAGGGATTGATTGTCTGGTCAACGAGGCTGGGTTACCTTAGCTATCTCAAATGGGGCTCGGAGGTTACAGTTCGTTCTGAGCCTGTGTAATACCAAACCTACTATTACACCGCGTGTACTCATTAGTCATCTCACGAACCACACAACCAAGTAATTGCCGCGCTCTGCACGAGGGTTCCAACCTGTAGGAACTTTGCAGATACCCAACTAAGCCCTTTATGAGATTATTGTATTACCGTGAGTACATCCGATCCACCTCAATCCATCTCTATCCTCCTACTTTTGACCAGAACCAGGTAGCACTCTATCAACCCCCACTTCAACTTCCTCAGCCGGCCCAGGCCTCCTAAGCATTTTCCCCGTAGAAGTATCCCAGACGGCTTCTCGTCTAAAAAAACAAGAATGGAATGCAAGTCTAGGTAATGTAGCCTTTTGACTCCGTAGCAGTCCATCTAACGCCCCCGTCGTATTTTACACTCCTTTTCTTTGTAATTGTGACAGCCCGATGTCCATGGACTATCGGGGAAAAGAAATTCAAGTCCCCGCAGCCCCCCAAGGTAAAACTGGCTAAAGAATGTTAGTCTGCATTGTCCACCTGAATACACTCGGTTGAGTAACATGGCAGAAGGATATGTAGTACATACCATACATACACAGGTTATTTCCTCGGCGTAGGCGGTGGACTCGGCACATTAGGTCTCGGGGAGAGAGGTCCCGGTCTGGGTGTCGGTCCGGGGGTAGGCGGTCGGGGAG